AAAAAAAAAAAAAAAAAAAAAAAAAAAAAAAAACATTTATAAAGGGGTTTATTTTAATTAAGCAACCTAATCCGTTTTTATAGAAAAATCTGAGATCAGTTCGCCAAATTAGAAAAAATATGTAACAAAACATAGAAAATAAGAATTATAAAGATCTGTGAAAGGGAACAGCAAACTGCATGTAGAATAATAAGCAGTTATCGGTTTACATTTGACAAATATCATTTATTTAACGCTTACCAAATATGTTCACCGTCGTTCCTTCATTACCACTGATATCGTATTTGTTCATCTAAATATTTTAACTTTTAGTATTACGACTCAATGCAAAAAAAGTGTAACGAAAAATCATTACGATTTCAACTCAACTTGTAAATGTGAAAAAAAATTCAAAAACAAATCGATAATATTTGTTAACAGAATTTTACATATGACATTCAACTAAAAAAGCATACAATTTTTTTTGAATAGTAAATCTTTCTTTTTGAATTTAATTTCACTGTTAAATCAATTCAGGTTTTCTTTCCTGCTAATCACTTGACAGTTTTTGGTGTAAAGAATATGTAGTATTTCTGAAATTTTTGAAGTGTTAAAATTTTATTCAGACTTTTAAAGCTTTGGCATAGCACTTTGGTGAAGACTTTTTAACAGGAGTGTAGGTTTAGAAATAGTTGACATTTTGAAAAGAGAAAAAAACAAATTGTTTTTGCCTTCTATTGCTTATATTTTCGCAATTACTACAGAGCCTTAAATGAATTGCTGAAACGGCTGTGGTAGAGGTACGTTGAAAGAAATACATTATAAAAAATGCCAAATCATAATAAAGTTCTAAATGAGGTTACTGCAATAAAGGCAATTTAAAGTTTAATGTATCTTAGTGTTCTTTGCACTTCCTTTAAAAAATAAACATTTTTGTTTCAATTGTACAATTCAGTTTCTTCAATATTTCAATGTTTTTTAAGACATCAACATTTCTGCAAATTCTATGCACTAATTTGCAGGTTGTTTTAGTATGGTTTATTTAGATTAATGAGGGCTAGTAAATGAAAGAACGTAAGTGTCACGTGGACCACAAGATGTCAATTAGAAAATTAAACAAAAATAAAAAAAAAAAAAAAACAATGATAAAAATAAGGCAAAAATTACTGTTTTAATGTTGCTCTAGTAAAACTTAATATTACTAAAATAATGTAGAAAAAAAATGAGTAAATTTTTTTTTTCGTCGATGCCGAGCTTATTGAATCGATCCAAATATCAACTGTCTTTAGACTTAAACTTTTACCACACCCGCACTAAGGCGTACAACTTTCTGATGCAACTAGCTAAACTTTAGTTTTGCGTCAGTCTCAAGACTATAGACACTTTTAAGACCTTTATTTCATATAATACAGTAGTAAAGACGAAGGTGCGGTAAGTGTAAAAGAAAAGTTTATTTTTGCAATCCCCACCCACAAAAAAAAAAAAAAAAATTTGAAGCATTACAGAAAAAGAGAACCAATTCAAATGCGCCTCAAAATCAATAAAAACCAATCGTTTGTCTATTTTTTCCTAACTTTGAAGCTTTTTTACTGAGAAAATGTATAATATATGAGAAAGGTAAGGAAAGTAATTTTGTAATTATTGTGACAGACAGAAAAAAGCTTAGCATTTAATGAAAACGAATCTCAAAGAGTGTTGTAAAACAGAAACGGATAATCTGTGATGAATAAGTAAAAAAACAGTATAAAGGCACAATAAACGAATAAAATCTGTTAAAATTTTTTTTACTTACGCACAGAAAATGGAAAAGCAAAATACGACTGACGTTTGAAATAAAATTTACCGAAAAATTGTATAAATTTTTTAGACTAATTCTAATAGTTGTTGTAACAGTTCCTTTCAATTTACTCATATTTTGAAAAGAATGTATATTGGAAAGAGACTACTGTTTGAGATCAACTGTTGTGTTACTTATATAGCTTCTTTATTTCATTTTCAAAACATTTTTCTGAGCACTAAATGACAGTTTATTGCGTTTTAAAGGAAGAAACGGTTGAAGTGAAGTTAGTTTAAGTAAAATAACGAAAGAAAGAAAAAAGGAAATGTAGAGTAAAGTTAGACTGTTAAAGAGTTGGTTTTTTTTTTAATATAAAAACTTGAAGAGAAAAAAGAGCGAACATAGGTTTATTTAAAAGTCTATTTTTTATTGTTCTAAGACCAGAAAAAACATCCACTG